AAGCTTGGAGGAAAGTTGCACAACGTGTGTTCCTAAGATGTCAACGGACTGTACGCTGAGCTAAGGCAATCCAAGAACATTTTGTACAGCCCACATAAAATAAAGTATATTTAATGTAATGTGTTGCTGAATGAAAGCACAGCATTCATTATTTATTCTTCTCATCTGTTTAATTTGTTCAGCGCATTATTATTCTGGCAGCCTAAGTGAGACAGTCATGCAGGAACAGATTAAGCAAACAGTTTAGAGCCTGCCTGCCTGAGCCAGTCTCCAGTAGCCTGGCTAGAATGTGAGCACAGGACTGCCTGCCTATAGGAGAATGCAGGTCATGGCCTAATGCCATGTGACGGGTCAAAAAGGCCTGCAGCAGACATGCATGCGCCTACTTTCCCTCCACCCCCTCTACTGCTGAAATGCCTGTTGTTTTTTCTTCTTTCATGCTGAGTCACATTTCAGAAGATTAGATCTGTGGAGCTGTAAAGCCCCCCCGAGAAGGCACGGCATCTCTAAATAAAACCCATCAAGACCACGAGGCGTCATGCTTATTTGCATTAAGTCAGTTACTGAGGCAAAATGCTCTATGTGAATGTTTTCAAAACGCACACTGAATGCACGTGATAAAATTATTATGCAATATAACAAGCAAGCAAACAAACATTTATTTATATAGTGGCTTTCTAAACCAGGGCACACAAACATTTATTTATATAGTGGCTTTCTAAACCAGGGTTACAGAGTGCTTCATAGTAGGACAAGAAGAGAAAAATAAAAACACACAGCAATAAAAAAAAATAAAAAAAAGACAATAACATGTACCACATGTACCAGCTGTATCTACAGAGCGCCTGGAGCCAGCATAGAAAAATTTAATGACTGGATGGAGGAGAATTACACGACAATAAGTCATAAATTAATGTTTATATGTGGTGACTTTAATATAGATTTATTGAATCCTAACAAGCACACAGCAACTGAGGAGTTTATTAACACATTATATAGATGCAGTTTATACCCAAAAATTACAAAACCAAGTAGAGTAACAACCCAGCATGCAACACTAATAGATAATATATTTACTAATGATATTGACAGCAAAATGTCTAGTGGATTACTTATAAATGATAT